GTCCAAAAATAATGTGGAAGAAGTAGTGAAATAATACATCATTGATTTTTGGTCACACTGAACTCAACAAGAGCTTTATTTCTTGTTTTCAAGACCCATCCTTCTCCAATATCTGTGCAAATCAGGCAATCCAGACTGAAACTGGAAGACGACACAGACAATGGCTGATGTAGATGGGCAGGTATACACACATCTCCTTACACATGTGTGAAGGTATCTTTCACCACTGTCACTCTTGGCAGATAAAACACTATAATCACTTTATGGTTGAATGACATATAATGCCATGAAAGGTCTTCATAGAAAAAAAAAAAAGTATGTTTTCACCTTTTTACTTTCTTTACCAGTGATTAGTTCCAGAAATATAAGGTATTATCACTTCTCAAAAAGCGCCGTAGGTTATAAGATTGCTCCTCTGAAGTTGGCAATATGTAATAAATGTGCTTTATTCCTAAACCTCAGTCTCAAGAATGGCAGATGCTTATAGAATGGTAATAATAGAAATAGTCAGCTAATAAATACTACAGGCATTAAAACATTGGATGACAGATGTGAAGTCTTCTTGTTATAAAAGGACACTCTCTTATATAATTATGGCTTTATAACTAGTTACATCAGTTTCTAAATATTTAGTTTTTAAGATTTCTGTATCTTTCTAGTAATGAAATGTATATGACAGTATTCTACACTGACATAAATAAAATATAGAAATATACCCACGAACTACAATAAAAGTATTCTACATGTGATGGCACTGGGTCAATTAATCTGAAGAGTATACCATTTGAATACTTATTAAATTATGGCTTGATGGCATGTTAATTTAATGAAAAAGTATGGAATTGAAAAAAAAAAAATTTTCATTTTCCAAAGCAAAACTTCATTTTGTACCAAATAAATAGAAAAAATAAATAAACTTCTAACCTAAATGTAGTTACATTTTGCTGGAAGGGGGGTTTATGGACAGAACATGACCATATAACATGACATATGTAAATGTCAAAGAAGTGTAGCAGACAGTTCAGGAGTCCAGAGAGCAGGTGAGTTCCAGACTGTATGTGGAGGAGGTAATCTTGAAAGTACAAAATCAGATAAATGGCCCGTAGACATGCCAGACTTCAGAAATGTCTTGAAAAAAGGCAGGAAAGTGACAACACATACAGGGTTTTTAAAGAACCAGGAGACAACTGCTCACCTCAAGTGACAGTTTCTAAAATGGGTTGTAGACTGGGGTGTAAATGGTTGCTAGATTTTGAAGACTTGGTCTAGAGTGACCAAAAAGTATGACAAACAGGTCATTGGCACATGTGTGGAGTTGTCTTTCTGTGTAGTTTACTGAGGTAAATGCTGAAAAATTTTCAATATGAAGGTGAAAGAGGAGAAAGTCAAAGGGAGGTGACGAATGCCTCTGAGTGGTGACACTGTGAGGGACTTCTGGCTGCAGAATGTATTCTTCTTATGATAGAGACTCTATTATAAAACATGCATTTGAAATCACATCTATTCAAAATTATTTCAGAAATCCAATTGCAGAAGTATGAGAAAGTTAAGCACCAAATGACACTTGCTAGTGAAGATGAAGCTATGTCAACCTTCCTTGAGAAGAAGATAAAAGAGGACGATGTATATAAAGAAAGAGCCAATTTGTGCCTCTCTCCTATCTTGCCAAGCAGGAAAATTAGAAGAGAGATTGTGCCAAATGGCTATTTTATTTAAAGGAAATAGTTTGAGAGGGTAGTTCCAAAATTACTTCTGAAAGTAACAAAAGAGTATGAATTTACTTGAGAAAGAAAAAATAAAAGCGTTTTTAGAATTGAGAACTTGGGCTGGGCCAGGCATCTGGCATACATTATCTAGTTTATCCCTCATAATAGCTCTGTGAAGTCTGATTTTTGGTATTATCCTCTGTTCACAGAGACGATACAGAGGTCATCAGCTGGTAAGTGTGTTTCTGACATTTAAACTCCGTAAGTTCTTTGCATCATTCATGTGACCTCTACCCAATAACTCCTGCAGTTTCTGGAGGCTAGCACATTTATTCATACCTCTGTGTAATTTCTCTTGCTATTCTCACTGCTTTTTAAAAAAAACTTTCTTCTCCTTGTCTGTTAAGGCCAAGGCCAAATATTACATCCTTTGGGGAGCGTTCCTGGTCCATCCTCTCTCACCACACCCCTTCCTTTGTGCTCTCTCTAGCAGGGGCAGGAACACCACCTTGAATGACAACAGTACCCACCTACTCTTCTCCTGAGCTCTGCAGGCAGGAGAAACGTCGAGTTACTACCTTGACTGTATCTTTCTTTCCACTGGAAAGAAAGTGAGGATAAGCCTTAGGGAGCATTGGCTATGACCAGACACATTCCTCAAGCTCTTTGAGTCTCAATTTTCTCATATGTGAAATAAGGCCAAGGTAAGCAGTTGTGTCATAGAGGTAAACGAGAGGCAGCGTGTGAAATCCCGCACACAGAGTTTGACACATGCCAAGCCCTTCTTCAACGTCAGTCCTTACCACCACTCTCTCCTTCTTCACTGTTATTTCTAGTGATTAATAAAATTCATTCCTCAACTTCCTGATTGATTAAATAGGGTCACATTTTCCTCTAAAACTTAAAGACAGTTGTTTATATTTTGTCTTAACTTTTTGGTCAAAGCCTCTAAAAAATTAGCAATTTGGGGGTACATGTACTTTTACCTGAGGATATGTAACAAACAATATCATTTGTCTTATTTCTCGATCCCTTTTAGCAGGTGAAAATCCAAAGACATTTTCTGATAGGATAATATCAGACTCAGGTATATAGCCAGTTTCATTGCAAATCCATGCTGAGAGAGAAAACAATGAATGCTACACTTCATTTATAATTTCCACTGTGAACATTATAAGAACTAGTATATTCTCAAATCAAATTAATCCACAATTGTAGCATTTAAGTTACAGTGAAAATCCCTAATTCAAGGGTACAGTATCACCTATAAAGCCAAATAAATGGTATAAGATAAGAGTTCTCAGTCTTGGGTTATAGTGTCAATTCTGTGTTAATTCAGCAAGCTTGATCTTGATTGCCAAAGCATGCTTGTCAATATTTAGTTCCCAGGGGGCATGTCAGGGGCCTTTACAGAAACTAGCTTAAATACAAAATACTATGGCAGGATTTGTGATCCTTTTCCTAATACTCAGATTAAACTGCTGAGTTTTTTCTTTTAGCTTTTTAAACCAAGAACGTGTTTTCCATACTCCTATGGTAACAAGAAGAGAAGAAATTACATAGAAGAATTGTAAATGCTGTTATTAGAGATTCTTGAAACCCAGATAAAATTCTGTCACATGAAATCACTATAAAGCTTTTATCTGAGGTTTGAAATACCATTTCCCAGCCATGATTACAATATAGGGAAAATGCTTGAAGAAATGTTAATCTGAATTCAGAAACAAATACAATACAGATGAGATGATGAGTAATGATTCTTATAAACTTAAAAACAAATAGCTTGAAATTTTAATAACTCTACACTTGGAACTTTCTGCTGCAATAATGCTGTGAGGCTTCTTAGCTTATGTAGCCATTATTCTTTATCGTTTAAAATGTTAAACGATTAAAGCAATTACACTTAAGAAAAGATGGGGGGGTTAATCTTATAATGATGAAAACCTATACCCTCTGTGGTGATTAAATATAAAACATGACAGGAAAAATAGTATTTTTTCCAAATTAATATATTTCTTTTGGCCTCCTAACTTTTCTTCCGTAGTAGATATGAATTAGAAATCCACACTTTCCTTCTTATTGAGCCTGATGAAACATTCTGTGATGACTGTGACCAAAAACAAACAAACAAGTTAAACATATATGTCAGATAATTGAAAAATCACCTCCTTCATTTGATTATCAAAACTTTTACATGTGTCTAGTCCTGATAACATGACAGAAAATGGCTCTGATATTATCAACACTTTTTTGTGCAAAATAACAGCTAAAGATGGAATCATCAAGCTGAAACAACCAGAAGACCAGGTCACGCTCCAGCTACTTTTGGTCAGTACCAGATAGCTGGTGATTCTGACTTTTACTGCTTTAACAGCAAATTTCTCTTCTTAGTTCATAGGTTTCCTGAATGAAAACTTGAATAATTCACTGAAACAATACCAGTCACAGTTTATCATATTTGTTTTAAAAGTTGAGACAAATGCATAAGCCACATCCCTAAATTCTAAGTTGAACTTCTATGTAGTGATACATTTTTCCATCACTTTCTCCAACTTTAGCTTACAAATTGTCAGCTGACATTCACACCTATTACCATATTTTGCAGCTGAGAAACTGGGCTCAGATGGATCAAGTGATACAGTCCAACACCACAAAGTCAATTTACATTTAAGCTAGGACTTTAACCTGGGCCTGTGGATTCCAAACTTTGAGTTCTGTCTTTATCAACACATCAAAAAATTTTTTGATCAAGGAAAAGCTTAAATGCAAACATGCTGTGAATTCTAGAACTAAAAATGTTTTTATGTTCAGAGAAATGCTGTATTTCACCTTATTCTTACTTAGGAAAACCCCTTTAACTTTCCTCTAGTGGATAATAATGGCAAGATCAGGTTTTTCACTGTCCCTCTCACTCTTGGATAGTGCCGTGTTAGGTTCTGGGACTCCTGATTATCAATTATATCACGCCAGACTCGCCTTGCCTACTGCACTCCTGCCTCTCTGATGCTTGTTGTTTCTTGAATACTAGAGCTCATGGCACTGGGTCCTGTGCATGACCTTTTCCCTATGCCTCATGTTCCAAGTGTCCACATTATTGCATGTTTGGCACTTTTTATCACACATGTCTCAGCTCAAATGGCGTTTCTTGGAGACACCTGCCCTGAGCCCCCATCTAAAGCTCTGCCTCTCCTCTCTCTACCAGGACATATCACGGGGTTTTGTTCTTTCCACAATAGTTGGGAGTATTTGAGATGCTCCCTATTCATTGTGTGTTCTCTCCTCCCACTCCACCTCCTGTTCAACACCCCAGACTCAGAGGTTAGAACAGCTCTTGGCATATGGTCGGCTCTTACAAATACATGTTTAATGGATACTTAATTGAATCAAAGTCTTTTAACATTCAGGTGTACTATATCCTTCAAAAACTAAGAACAACATTTGTTTTTATCAGCCACTTCTGGGGATTTAGCATGGCAGAATTTGTGTCACTGTGATGTACGATCTTATCTATTTTCTATTATGTATAGTTTTTATATTAATACTGATTGAGGTGTGATCTTTTAATCTGATTAACTTTATAAAAACATTTTTTTAATCATCCAGGTCTCTTACTAACATGCTCAGTTTCAACATGTAACCTGTCTACTAATAAGCTAGAACATTTTGGTATTCTCTATTCAGACAATACATTTTCTAAGAAAATCCCATTCTCTATTGTAGTCTAAGTTTGGTTCCTTCACTCAGAATTTTATAAATGAAACCTCCATATCAGATATATTTTACAGCATTTTTACTGAGAAAGGTAATATAGTGTGTAAGTCAAAGTAAAAATACTTTTAAAGTCATATGAATTTAGACAAATAATACTAAAGAATAACATTATTGTTGAATATTGGATTTTTGAGATAAAATAGAGATATCCAGAAATAAAGAAACTTTAAGTTTCACAAGAATTAGCTAATAATATTTTTAATACAATACAAATTTCAGAGACATCTACAGTATAGAAGGTGTCATTTGTCCTTCTGAGTATGGAAAGGTATTAATAATAGGCAGCAACATTCACTTGGGTCATCACGTCAAGGGAGAGCACTGGTTGCACAATGGAAACCAGCCAGATGTGCTCAGAATGCTCAGCAGTTAGGAAAAGTATCATGGACAGAGTGCACAGGGCTTGTCAGGCCAATCTAGGAGCATTAACAGTGGTGAAACAAATGACTGCTGTGTCCTGCAATTCAGAGTCCTCGCTCCTTGGTGTCTTCATCTGTTTTATGCATCTATCACAGAATACCGCAGACTGGGTAATTCTTAATGAACAGAGAATCATGCCTCACATTCCTAGAGGCTGAGAAGTTCAAGGTCAACAGCCCACTTCTGATGAGGGCCTTCTTGCAGTATCATCCCGTGGAAGAATGCAGAGGTGTTGCAGGCATGTGAGAGCAGGAGATGGAATTCACAGCCTCAAGCCTTTTTACAATGGCCATTACTTCATTCACAAGGGTGGAGCCGCAGGGCCTGAGCACTTCTTTAAGGTCCCGCCTCAACACTGTTGCATTGGAATTAAGTTTCCAACATGCTTTATGGAGAAACATTCAAATCATGACATTTCACCCCAGTATCCCAAATTCATGTGCTTCTTACATGCAAAATATGGTCATTCCATCCCCATGGCCCCAAAAGTCTTAAGTCATCCTAGCACCAACTAGCATCCAAAGTCCAGAGTCTCATCTAAATCACATATGGGTGAAACTCAAGGCACAATTCATTCTGGGAAAAATTCCCATCAGCCCGGGAAATCAAACAAGTTACCTACTTCCAAAGTTCAAAAGTAGGACAGGCATAGGGCAGATATTCTCATTCCAAATGTAAGAAATAGGCCAGAAAGAAGGATAGCTGATCCCAAGAGAGTGTAAACCCCAACAGAGAAGAAGAATTAGATCTTAAGGATGGAGCATTATATTCTTTGGCTCCGAGTTCCACGTCTTGGACACACTGGAGCAGGGGAGGGTCCCCAAGACCTCAGGTAACTCCACCCCTGCAGCATGGCTGGGCTCAATCTACCCAGAAGCTCTCCCTGGTTGCAGTCTCAAGCCTGCAGTTCTCCCAGGCTTGGGTCACACACCAGTGGCCCCACAGTCCTGTGGTCTTAGAGGCCACCCTACTCCCATGGTTCTATCAGACAATATCAAAGTGGGTCTACCAATGGTGGTCACACTCTTACATGTCTGCTGCGTACTGCCCTAGTGGGGGCTCTTTGTGGTGGCCCTGGGTCTGTAACAAGTCTCTACTCAGGCCCTCAGGCTATCTGAAGCATCCTTTGAAATCAAAGTGGAGGCGGCCTGGCACCACAGCTTTTACCTCCAAAATGCCTGAAGAATTAGCACCATGTGAATGTCACCAATGTTTATAGCCTGTGTCTTCTGGAGTGATGAGTTGAGGGAGCACCAGGGCCTGCTTGAGCCACTGCTGAGACAGCTCATGCCGAGATCCAATGGATACCTCTCTAGAAATCATGCCCTTATTAGCTCCAATAGCTGGAAAGGAAGTAAACATGTCTTTGGGAAAACTATACTGGAGAACTAAGAGTCACTACACTGATGAGAAATCATTGTTATCGATGATGTGTGTGTGTATGAGTTTAAATAAAACTGCTCATGAAATAAACATGAGAAAAGGTTATTTCCAAATTAACTATTATTTTATACAAAATGCAATTTTATTGTTACTTGTGTTTTATTTATGTGAGCTACTAAGTGTTATTGACAGGTATTTGAAAATTTTATTCACATTCATAAAATTTATTCATTCAAGTTGGCTGAAGCACTGCTGGGTTTTTTTTCAATCTTTTCACTGGAAAAAGGAGAACTGCCTTATATTCAGAGTTACCTTATATTTGGATATAAATAGCCATTATCTGACCCTCAATCTGCAAAAATTGTAGTGTGTGAGCCACATACAAAATAGTGTACAAACACTAACTCTGAACATTACATTGAAATGCTGGAGGTAGGTGATCATTCAACTGATGGTTCCATTCATACCACTTGGCACAATTGCAATTATCTGGTTATACAGAGGACTGGAGCTACGTATGTTTCCTTCACTTCTTCATTCCAGTAGAGTGCTCTACTTATCACAGTAAGCACTCCACCTATGTTAAAGGAAGGAAGGGGGAAAGAAAAGTAGAAAAGAAGGTCTTCGAATCACTAAACCCTCCCCTACTAGATGACTAAGTAAATGGGGTCAGTCTTCTCCAAGGAAGGACTGTGGCCATCGTGTTACTGAGAGGTACCATGATGGCCCAGTAGAATGCCTACAGACTATGGAACTTTGACACTTTCCCTTTCCAAGCCTGTGCCTGTGCAATGTCTGAAGCAAGTGCTGATGTTTCTCCTATCCAAAGTATTCCTTTGGATTAAATCACAGATCTCTAGAAGAATCTAATTAAAATGCCCATCTCTCTTCTGGGAACATTCACTACCCAAGCCATTTACATCATGCCTCATTAGCACGGACCCACGCTCTGCAGACTAGGAGGGCTGGCAAGCTCTGCTGCCAGTGTAAGGCCAGAAAAGTTTTGGTTTCTAAGTGATTGCTACCTAAGAGTAGGGTTTGGGAGACAAATGTTTGCTCAGATGAAGAAAGGCCATGTGGACACTGGAATCTCTCTGCCGAAAGAGGAAGTAAAAGTGAGAGGAACAGAGATAAACTTTGACTAGTTAAGTTCTTCAAGAGCCAGCTTTGCCTTATCTGGACATTTGAAGGGAAGTTAGTTACATAAATACCCTTGCAAGTGCTTACAGAGTTTGAGCAAGTTTAGGCAGAGAGATTTCTGCTCTTTACTTAATACCTGCCTCTTTTGTTCATTCCCTGGTGTTTATTGAGCCCCCACTACTACAGACCAGGGATTTTGCTGATGGGAGATTTAGAAAATGACCGAGAGAGCATTTCTGTGCTGAAAGAACTTTCAAACTATGAAGAGAAATGCAAATGAATAATAACCCCACAAAATGATAAGCTCTTTGGCAGAAGCACACTGAAAGTATGTGGACGGCCACCACAGAAGCATTTAACCCAGCTAGAGAATTCTCAGCGAAGGTGAGTTTGTATATTGAAGGAAACCAAGATTTCTCAGGAAAAGAGACAGGCCTGTGGGGGCGTGGTGTGTTTGAAAGTGGGGTACTTCCTCTGACTGGAGCACTGCAGAGCAGGGCACAGGCAGGGGGGGACCCAGGACAGGAAGGTTCTCAGGGTTAAGCCTGTGGGCATCATTCATAAGGAGCTTGAAAATAAGAGAAAATCGGGTGTCATGTAGACGATGAGTAGGAGATAGGAGAGGAAAGAAGCAAAATCAGGTAGGAGTTTATCTCAGTGTTTTCAATCAGATATAATTTCGTGGAGTTAGACAAAAAGGACCAGCTCAGAAAAAAACGTTAAGTAAGTGGGTTCCTTAGGGTTTAGAGACCAACCAGATACGGTGATACGTATCAAAGCCTCAGATGTCACTTTAGAAGAGGTAATGTGCATTGGAGGCAAAATGGCAATAAAGATCAAAGAGAGATGCTGCTTCAAATTCAGTATTTTCTCAGGTATCTGCATATGCTCCTTACTCTGTAGGGTATTATATTGTGAAAGCCTTGCTAAAGCAGCCATTTTACTAATGCAGAGTAAAATAATGCAGAGAACAAATTATGAGGGTATAAATACACAGATTGTTTTCCATTTTTTCTCCACTTTCTGATGCTTTCTCCTCACCAAATCCTAAGATCACCGTATTCCCCATTCTCCCACTGGATGAAATGCTGGATCATCACGTCCGAGTGAAAGGCCCTTTTTGGCTGACCCCAAGGATGTCGCTTATGACCAGTCACCTATTGCAGTGAAAGAATCTCCATGGTTGAATAACTGACCCCATGCATGTTGTTTATGACCTGACACTCGCTGCGTTCTTCTCCCTGTAACATTTTTATATCAATAAACTAGATGTCACTTGCTCTCATATCACAGAGTTCCTGTTTAGAGCAAACCAGTACCATAAGATAATCGCCAGCCTCTCTTTGAAAGATTTTATTTTATTTTTCTGCAATTCTCCTGCAATTTGAACTTGGGGCAACAGATTTTGTCCAAGGCAAACAAGCACATTTTTGACTTTTAAAAACACGAGTTCTAAACACCTGTGAAAGGTACAGTTTGATCCGACACTCAGTCAAGTTCTAGGAAAACACAACTCACAGTCTTATTTATTTTTTTCTCTACTTTTTCTCTAAGTTTTTTGACATTTTAAAATTATTTGCTGACCAAAAGCATAAAAACAGACACACATGGCTGAGAGAACAAGCAA